AACTCTCTCCTTCCTCAGGGATGAGGCAGGGAGAGCCAGCAGCCTGTCCAAGGTCAGAGTGATTGGCTACATGATGGAACCTGGACCCTGCTGAGTACAGGAGGCTGAGGACTTTGGAGAGTCATAACTGGGAAAACACGTAGCATCTCCTGCTGCAGTTATCAGCTTGCCCATGTGCCTCAGCCACCAAGTTAGAAGTGAGACTTAGAAATATCTAGGGTCATCTCTTCCACACTGCATCTGCAGCTGTCCTGGCACCTGAGCTGTCAGTGGTGTTCCTGTGTAGACGGCAGGCCATTACCTAGGCCGTCACGGGAAGATCTCCAGCTCTAGTGAACACAATCTCATCAGGATGGTCAAGACTACTAAAAATATGGCCTTTGAGGTACCTTTCTGAAACAAAGGAAGACCGTGGAATCACAGACATTGTAACAATTCAAGGTCATTGACCTTGTCCCCTTGTTCTCCTGCTTGTCTGTGATGGGGGTGAGCATGGGCTGCGGGTCAGTCCTCCTGTGTAACTCACAAGGCACAGCAGATTCTGCTGCCATTTTACAATGGAACGTTACAGAGAACTCAATCTGGCCAGTTGTACTCTCCCTGGCCCCAGGTGAAGCGTGATGGCTTAGCTCGCAGGGTGACACCTCAGCTTTTAGCCCAGGAGCCTTGAAGTTGGGAGGCTCGGGCTCAGCGTGAAGCACCCACTTCTTGATCCTTCTGTGCTGTGATGAATGGATTCACCTGGGACATGGGCTTAAAAATGACCCCCCTGAAACTGAACTTTTAAACAAGCAGAATGAAGCAACCCTTTCTAGCAGCCCTGGTCCTGAAGGGATGTCACGGGATGAAGCAGGATAGAGACCTTCAACACTGCCTGATGCTTGCGGAACATCTCCTTCCAGAGTCTGGCTAGGATGTAGGGATATAGGGACCTCCCAGATGTGGATGGCTGATGTCTTCTTAAACATCAGAATTAAGAGTAGCTAGTTATTTGAAGTATGTGGACATGTTCAGAATCTTTGAGGGATAGGCAGGTGCCAGGAAGGGTTCAGAGCAGGCCAAGTCCGCCAATGGCTTCTTGGGTACCAGTCGGACTCCATTGTGACAAGCATGTCCACAACCATACCTAACTGCTGGGTAGGAAGCCAAAGGGTCCACTCGGGTCCACTCTGCATCCTGGACCCTTGCACAACATGTAGGCCTTGCTCAATATAAAATCCCACCACTAGGAAGCTCTCACTCTGGTGTGTTTATAATGGAGCTTCTTCCTACAAAACGGAAACAGTAACAAGACGCTTCTGGTGACACTGGGAGGGAGCAAACCTTTGACTATGGTGCTCGAGTTCAGCAGCAGTGAGCACTTGAAGATTCCAATGCATGGCAGTAAAGTCCAAATGGAAGGAGACATTGAGCTACAGCAATGGACAGGGACACAGTGGGCTCCTCAGGGAGAACCTATCATCCTTAGCCCTGGATGGGAAAGATGAGGAACACAATGGGGGCCCCAGGAAGGCCTAGGAAATTTTTGTACAAAAGCCTGTGGCTGTGTGACACCAGATGTAGACTGAAGTCATCTTGTTGGAACTAATGGAGTTTTATTTTACACTGTTGACCTTAGGAATTTCTAACAGGAGTAGAAGCAGGCTGGGCTCTGTCTGGGTGGCCTTTGTCTTGAGCCACATGTATAGGCAGTTTCCTTCTTGGATGTCCTTCCTACTCTACCCTGGAAAGGACCATCATCATTCCTGCTGATGTAGAAGAGAAGGCATGACTAGCACAGGCCACGTGTGATGGGTTGGTCCCTTAGTGGTCACTGGAGTGCCACTAAGGCAAGACTCCATGAATACCAAGCACTCTTACTTTACTCCCTAATTCACAGAGGAGCCATTGGTTGAGAAGTTTACATATGAGCTAAGTACATTTTAAGACAGCATAGGACTTTTTTTAGCTTTAGAGAAAAATATCACCCACTAGACAATAGACATTAAAAGAACATTAGTATTAAAGTATTAAAACTATCTTTTACAGTGAAAGAATCAATTCGAAGTTAAAGCAAACTGAGCAAAAATGCCCCTGGTGTGTCTTTATAAGATTTGCGTTGATCCCCTTTGGGTTTGGTTATTGGAAGCTAGAGCCATATGGTTCAGCTAATGTCATTAGTTCGTCTTATTCCAAGTGACCACAGTGAGGTGGGCTCCTGGAGTCATTTCTTAGATGCCCCAGCAGCGTGCTTCACAGGGAAACTCAATAAGCATGGGTGGGTTCTCCCGTGGATGTTTTACCCGCAAGGCTCTACACACTGCTAGGATACAGTATTTTCTTTCCCCCTTGAAACTAGAAAGACATCATGTATCAAGCATTCAGAACAGGAAGGCTCTCTTTCTGCAGGAGTCAAATGCTTCCACTGGGGGCTGGAAAGATGGTTCAGTGGTTAAGAACTCACTGCTCTTCCAGAGGACCTGAGTTCAATTCCCAGGACTGATATGACGCCTAAGAACTGTCTGTAATTCTAGATCCTAGGGGATCTTACACAAGGAGTTATGACTGATCTGGCACTGCAAACATGTGGTACACAGGCAAACAATAACACCCATAAAGTAAAAATAATCCTTAAAAATTCTGATACTAGTCTTAGAAGAAACTGAGGCAACAGACTTTCCTAAGTAAATTCATATTTTTTGATATTATATATAGCTAAAATATTTCTCCCTTCCCTTTCCTCCCTCTCAATTTTCTTATATACCCCTTTGTTCTCTTTCAGCTTTATAACTTCTTATTTTTAATCACATGTATATGTGCATATGTAAATACACACATATTTCTAAATACAACCTGCTCAGTGTGTATAGAGCCAAATACATTTTAAAGCAGTGAAGGACCACTGTGATGCTAAAGTCATCTCCATCCTGGGACGTGAGCAGAGATCCTCATATGGTCCATCTAGATCTGTTCTCTTGGCATTAGGCTCGCAGTTGGCAGAGCTGAATCAGCCCACAGCATCAGACCTATCATGGATCTAGTGCAGGACATTACCAGAACCCCTGCATATCCCCTTCACATTCAGTAGGTCAGGGCTGGGTTCAAAATGATGAGGTCCAGGTATGCTGTGGATGTGTTAAGAATGTTTGCCTTTCCTGCAGTTGGGCTGGCATGCTGCCTGTTGACACCAACTACACACTACATGCGTGTATGTGTGCCCCTTGTATGGCCGCCCATGTCTCCACATTGCATATTTACCCCTACATCCCTGCATGCCCATGTCAGTTAGCTCATGACCCCACATTGCATATACACCTCCGCATACATACATGTATGCATGCCCCTGTGTATGTCAGCCTCGTACTCTGCATGTGTGCCCATGTGCATGTCCGCTCTACACCCTCCACTGCATTTTGTTCTCTCCTGGCCTCTGTGATGGGCAGTTCCCATTTTATACATTTTATAACTGATTCTAAATTAAAACTTACCAAAAAATACAAGCCAAAAGAATTTTTCTTTCTGACCTAGATAACTTATATTCTCTATTTTGCAAATTTTCTGGGGCTCTAAGGAGACACATTTGCTCTGTATTCATTTGAAAACCGAAACTATCAGGACAGAATAAATGGACCCCACTTTTTCCTTTTGAAAAAATTCCAAGTCACTGGTCTGCAGAAACGGAGATGTTTCTAGATCTTTACAATAAAGTTTAATAAAATCTAGATCTCTGAGAGCAACTGTTGACGTCCCCACCCTACACTGCTGCAGAACAGGGGCATGGGGAATACAGAGAATGCCTAGCGGTGTTCCCTCTGCTCCTGGAGCCTCTGACTATACTGCGCAGATCCTGACTGCTCTGGATTCTCACAAGTGATTCTGTGACATGGAGGGAATTCAACGGAAGATCACAAAGTGACAGAGGTGACACTAACGGCAGCCCCAGTGACACAGCCGTTTCCTGGCAACACTGCAGGTCAGCTGCCACTGCCCAGGAACTAAGGACACCATACCATCAAACACGGACGGGCTAGAATTGCTCTCTGCAGACATGGCACCTGGCTGGGGAAAGAGGACCTTGGTGTGGCCCTTGGGGCTCAGAGGACAGAGGCTACTGGGATCATAGGATGGGGAGGAGAAAGCACGAATTTGGACTAAATAGCAGCTGAAAGGGAATAGACCTGCTGGGAAGGCGTTTGGGCCTCCAGAAAGAAACCCTGCTAGGTGGTTGTCATGTGGGCGGGGCTAATGGAGTGTGAGGCAGAGGCACCGCCATTTCCTGCTGCTCAGGGGATCCCTGCACAGGACTACAATGTGGCCGTGGTACCTTTAGCCCCTCCTAGTAAATAAGCATTTTCTTTGTCTAAGGGCTGTGAGGGGACAGCTGTAGTCACACCAAAGAGTTCCACAATAGCCTGGAGTGGAGTAGAACAAAGGGTTATTTATTTGGGGATAAACTCACAGTAAGGGTAGCCATCTGTAGTCCTCTGCAAGTGCTGGGAACTGGAACCGAATCCAGCAGCAAAGAGGGCTGAGCACGCTTTTATAGTACATGAGATCGCGCCCACAGTGGGCTGGTATCTTAAAGGCTATTGGCTGAAGGAGTTCCCACAACGGACAGCTATGTACTAGAACTCCCTTTTGTTGCTGGGCTGGAACATGTCTGGCTCCCAGCTTCCAAGGTATGGTTTCCAGGCAGTAGAGATGTCACCCCCAATTGCTGGTCACCACCTCTGGCATCTAGGAGCTCAGAGGAGACCTTGAGAGAGCACATGGGCAGCAGGGGACCCACACAGGGCCTGGCCCACACAGTGCACAGCTGAATGACCATTGCAGAGAAGAGGCGGGGCTCCTACTTTGTCCATCACTTCTTCTTGATCTTTGGGTCTGAAATCTTTGCAGCTGGCAGGCAAGCCATATCCACTTTAAAGACAGGCTGTGACTATCTATGCCTTTTTCTTCTTGCTGGCACTTGAATCATTCCTGCTTCCCCGTAACCTGCCCTATCTGTCTGTACAAACCAGATTCATCCACATGTGAGCTGGCCAGGGACACATGGCCTTTGTGTCAACCCTCCGATGCTATGCCAGCTGACCGGCTAATCCCGTAGTCTCCTTGGTGAGTCTTACCCACTTCTACCCCAGCTGTTATCCTTCTAGTCCTCCTGTGCCCACCGTCAGCAGTCCTAGTTCTATGAACCCCCACATAGGCTGATTCCAGGCTGCAAGAGTGAAACAGATTTGTTCCCAGTCACTCTTGACCTCGCTCCTTCTTCTCAGTTGGCTCATTAGAGCTCAGGGCAGCCCCCCTCCCTCTGGCCTCCTTCTCTCCCTGGCACACATCAAAGGCCAACTTTACAGCTCTGCCCTGGTGGGCTCTGGCCGCTTTTCAGAAAGAGCAGGTCTCTGCAGCTGACCTTGGCTAGTTGGAGGCCTTTGAGAGAGTCATAAAAGTTCTCAAGACCCACTGCCAACTTACAATAAAGTAGTCATGGGCTACTTCAGATCCCCTACAGATCTGTGAAAAATGGTCTGGAGGTCTTCCCTGAGCTCTATGACAGTTCTCAGCATTTCCCATCTTCTGGAAACTGTAAACTGTAGTCAGCAAACACTGTGTGGGGAGGCTGTGTTGGTCATACGTGCTCAGTGTCAGACTGACACAGTGACACTGGGAACGCCTTTCCTCTGGACTCATTGGCATGGCACCTCCATGCTTGAAGCTTGCATATTTGAAAATGTGAATGTTTACTGTGATTATAACCCAATGATCATGAGTGTCAGTGAGCTCCATAAAGGATGGAAAGGGAGGTTATGCTTATGCCCAGGACACAGGAAAAGGTCCTGTGTGTGGCTGGAGAGCTGGCTCAGTGGTGACGAGCACTTGCTGCTCTTGCAAAGGCCCAACTACCTGCAACTCCCTTTTCGGGGAGCAATGCCCTCTTCTGGACTCCATGCATATCAGGCATGCACAGGGTGCTCTTACATACATGCAGGTAAAATACTCATGCACACAAAAATAAAATAAATCTTAAAGTTCTGTGGCACTGAAGGAGCCAGGGAGGTCCCAGAGTTGGAGGCAGTGACTGAGACGGCTTCCCAGGTGGGCAGATAAGGTCTTCTGTCTGACACTACACTACACTCTCCGGAGGGAGATCTGGGGGTGGGGGGCAGTATGGGGCAAGGAGGCTAGCCCAGCAGCTGCCACAGAGGCTGGACCTGAGCCTGGTGAGAGGAGGGGCTCCCGTGGGTACATGTGGCTACTTACTGAAGAGTGTAGCTCTGGAAGGGTGCCATCTTTTTTTTTTTTTTTTTTTTTCTCCCCCCTACGTCCATGTCTAGGAAGGTGAACGTCCAAACTGGCTAGGCCATCTTTAAAGACGAGCAAGGAACCATACGTTATTACTTGGGGAACATGTTTTGTCCCTGCCTACAGGAGACAGTGTTGTATTGTATAAGCTTGTGCTGCTCACTGGACTTAAGGGACTTCTTTAGGCTGTGATTACTCTTAGCTCCCAAGGCAGGTCTCCATCTGCACAGGCCTGGTGCTGGAAGTTAGCTTCTCCTATAGGAAAATGAGGACTCTCTGTGGCCTTAGATCTGATGTTAAACACACAGCAACAGAAGATTTTTGGGTACCATTTAAAAAGATAACTCAGACAACGTCGAATACTTCTGCACAACAAAGAATACAACCAAGATAGTGAGGGAAAAACAGACAAACTACTGAGAGGGAAGCAATAAGTGCCCGTCCCACATCTGATACCGATCAATATTCAGAATCTAGAAAGAACCCCTTCAAGAACACAAACAGTTCCACCTCACAGACAGGCACAGGGATGAACCACCATGTCCCCTGAGATGATATGTGGGTGGGAAGCAAGCCTGTGAGATGCTGAATGCCACTAGTTAGGAAGGAAACACAGGCCAAAACCACAATCAGATAGTTTCATACACACCAGGAGGGCTAACACCCCAAATAGAAAAATAACAGACAGAACGGTAGTCATTAAGAAAATAAGTAACTTCAAATGCTGGCAAGCAGCTGGGCACAGGGGAGCCCATATGCACTGCAAATGAGAATACAAACCAATCGGTCCCTGGGGACTTGGCATGGAGGTTTCTAAAACAAACAAACTAAATATTAACAATAGGTCTTCTGTATGATAAGGTTTAGCACCCTTCAGAACTTATGCAAGGGCTCCAGGTCAGCGTGCACATCAGTGTTTACTACAGCAGAATAGAATTCAGAGCAGCTCAGCTACAGGACCAACTCAGGTGTCGACCAACAGAGGAATGGACAAAGACAGGGTGACATTCACAATGGCGCTTTTTGAGCCTGAATGAAGAATGAAGTTTTGTTGTTTGTGGGAAACGGGATGTAACTGGAGATGGTCCTAAGTGAATGAAGCCGGGCTCGGAAAGTTGCCTTTGTGTTGTCTCACGGTGGCTCCCTGGTTTACACACATATGAAATCGAACATGCATCACATGGAAGTAAAAGGGAAGTGTCTAGGGGAACCATAGAGACTAGTGGGAGGGGTAGGGCCAGGAGAGAGCGGGGAGTGAGGGAGCATTTGCTCAGCACACACACACACACACACACACACTATAATATATATATATGTATACATACTATATATATGTATATATATACCTTAAAAAAATAGAGCCCAGCAAAACAGTTGTGTTCCGCACACATGGGCAAATGAACCCTGTGCAACACTGCAGGAATGCAGGATAGTCATCGTGAAACAGATCTGGCACCTGACCCAGCCATCCTATCCCTATATGTATACTCAAAACAAGTTCCAAATCACGGATTCCAGCGGATCTTGCATATCCAGGGAGCAGCTCACAGCTGCAAAGGGACCAGAGGAGCAAACTTAGTAACTGGAACCTCTTTATAACTGATGTGGTCAGTTCTGTAAAGACCGCCTAGGTGACAACTGGGTGAACGTGAGGACGTGGGCCAGATGCAGGAGGGTGAGCACTCCAGGCTTCCCTAGACTAGTCACAGACTGCACATTTTGTGAGAGGGCATCGCAGGGGCAACGGTGGTAGCTGGAGGATTGGGCTGGTGAGGAGTCTGGGGCTACGCACCTAGTATTTCCCACTCTGACTGTGGGCTCTCACAGCGTAGCAGCCCAAAGTGAGAACTAGCCTGAGTCTATTCTAATACATACGGGTGCAGGGGATGAGAGTCAGAGGCTCACACTGTACAGGTCCCAGCCTGTAGCTGACCAACCAGAAGCACCTGTCCTGCTCTATGCATGCACTGGGGCCATAGCACAGGCAGACCTAGATGCTTGCTTCTATTCAAGCCAGATGCGTGCCTCATCTGGAGGCCAAGAGACCCTTGCCTCTCCCAGACTCTCGCTAGCAATGTTGCCGAAACCATGCAGTCACGTGGTGGTTTTGTGCTGGCCCTGCCTGAGTCATCCTGAACGCTATAGCTCTATGGCTCCTGCAGCTGTGGAGACTCGGCCGGAAGCTTTGGCCCCTCACCATACCACCAAACACTGTAAGGAAATAGGAAGAAGCCCTGGCAAGTGAATGCTAGGGATGAAACTTAGAAAGCACAAGCTTGGGCAGCAGCAGGGCTGGAAATGCACGCCTGGCCAGGTGAGAATCTAAGCCTTCAGGAGGAGGGGTCATGCATCTCTTCAGAGCAGGAGACACATTCGCTGTAACACCATACAAATGCCATCTCCAAACCCTACCACATATGCGCAGTCCGGCCTTTCCAGAGCGGGGTCCATTTAGATTTCCAAGTGCATCATTGTCTACTTGCTAACAACCCAGACAGCACAGAAAGAACTTAAATTATTCCAACTCCATTCTTCCAGCCCCTGTGTTAGGCCTGGGGGCCTTAATCCCTGACAGACTGTGAATGAGAGCTGCTGCCGGGTGCAGCTGGGCGGGCGCACAGGGCGGAGGACTCTGAGGACGGCGTGGAAGCACAAACCAGCTTTGCAAAGGCTTTCTTTGCTGCTCCTGCAATTCATTTCTCTTAAGAAAGGGAACTTGGAAGAAAGGCTGCATGTCCAGGTCTTTGGGCTTCTGATCATTTGATGAACACTGGGTCGGCAACATGGGCCCCCAGCTTCTCAGGCCAGACAAAGGCACCCCAGCCGCCCAGGACAAAACCTCAGCGGCCTCTTGGGGTGGTGGCCTGGGAAAGGCCCACCTCAGTCTGTGAGGACCGCCTGCCCTTTGATCTGTGAGACCCCAGCCAGGCCCCAGGTCAGCGGATTTCACACTGCAGCCCCCTGGGGAAGGGGAGCAGGTCAGGACTGGAAAGAGGGTGATAGATCCCAGAGAGCAGCTCTGGCTCTGACAAGTTCCACATGGCTGGGCTTGTATTGTGAGCACCAAGCCCACACTTTAAATGGAACCTGACATTACACGGCAGAGTGGAACTAGCGAATGGCAGGCCTGGGCCAGTGGGCGGCAGTTAGCCCACCCCCTGGGCCCAACCGACTGACTGGCCTCGAGTCACTAAAGACCCATGCCAGATCACACCAACCCAGTGGCCTCTACTAGGGCCCAGCTCTGGCTGGTGCCTGTAGCATTGTCCCCGCTCTGGTTGGCATCTTTTCACATGAAATACATGTTTGCCAAGGAGCCTTTTTACAGCACACTGTTTGCAAAAACAGTTATGGAAAAAAATCTAGTTAAAATAATCTATCGCTCTGAGGAAATCTGGTGTAACAACGGGAAAATATTATGTTCACGAGAGCAAGTAGAGGATGGGCAATCAGGGACAAAGTATGAGGTCCGTTGATTGCTACCAGTACCGGTAACTGTGTATTTGCTGAGAAAAAGATGTTTAAAATCAGTCAGCGCAGCATGAATAGGTAAGAAGGCTTTAAGAAAAGCGTTAGGGTTGTGCTCTGCCCCCGCCAGACAGCACCACTGAAAGCGGCATCAGACATGTGCACCCTGCTAGGGCTCTCATCCAGGTACCGGCCTAAACGTAGCTCAGCAGGGCGGCTGGGCGGCTGGTGCTGGTGATGGCAACTCAGAGAATAGAGCCATGGCCCCAGAGCCATCGCAGGACTCTTGGAGCCTTAAAGTGGCTGCCGTGCTTTGCTCCAGCCCAAAAGTCCCTGGATACAAG